TGCTTCGGCACCTTAGATGGGCGCATCTCGTAGACATGTCTTGCCTTCCTGGCATGGGCCTTCATCGCGGAAAGTGATTCTCCCCCACCTGCTAGTCCCCCTGAGATGGTGTGGACTTCCCCCACTGGTTGCTGATCTTCCTGGTTGTGAGGTTGTGGTGCTCATTCCCTTCCAGCAACATACTGGCGTAAGTGACCACGCTGGACGAGCCCCTCAATTTGCCTCTTGAGGTCGTAGCAATCGTCGGTGTCATACCCGTGGTCACGATGGAAGCGGCAATACTTGTTAGGATTTCTGCGATTTGGAGGAGACTTCATTTTTCCAGGCCACTTTATCGCGGGGTCATCCTGGATCTGGAATAGGATGTGTTCCACGGAAGCATTGAGGGGAGTGAAGGGTTGACGGTTCCTCTGAGGAGCAGAACCTAGCCGGTCCTTGACAAGGACTTTCTCTATCCTGCCATGTTTGTTGTTGGTCCCCTTCTTATCATCCCTCTCCCTTTCCTTCCTTTTTCTCCCCTACTCTGGAAGACTCACCCCGCCTGGCCCTTGTGATGTCTTCTGCGTTTATGTACTTTTGGGCCTTGGCTAGCAGCTCTGGCATGCTCTTCGGTGGGCGCTTCAGAACTGAGAAAAGGAAACTTGATGAACGGAGGCCACCCAAGAAGGCGGTCATCGTCACCTTGTCGTCAGGTTCATCAACTTGGAGTACCTCCTCGTTAAAACGAGTGAGGTAACTCCTCAGGCTCTCCTCGCGGTCCTGCTTTATACTAAGCAGGTGCGTAACTGGCTTCTGGTGGCGACGCCCTCCTATGAAGTGTGAGACGAATGATCTGCTAAGCTCGGCAAAAGAGGTAATAGAGGCGGGGGAGAGCTTAGCAAACCACTGTCGGGCAGACCCCTTTAATGTGGTTGGGAATGCCCTGCACATGATTTCGTCTGGTACGTTGTGCAATTGCATCAAGGTCTTGTAAGTGTCGAGGTGGTCCAGTGGATCCTTTGTTCCATCAAAGGTCTCCACAGATGGCATTTTGAACTTCTGAGGGAGGGGGTAGTTTGCTACATCAGGTTTGAAAGGGGTATCAGTACGCCTTACCAGGTGGTCAACAGTCTCGGGTCCCTGTGCCTTCATGGCGTTGAAGACATCACCGAGTTGATTCTGTACCTCCTTTATCTTCTCGTCCCAATGATTGGGGGCTCCTCTGGAATGATCATGGAAGTGGCTTCCATGCTCCATGTTTTGGTTTTCACCCTTATCCTCCTAGAGATAAGGGTCCTCTCCCTGGGAAGCAAGGGGAGGGGAGGTGGAGCTCCCTCATGTTGGGCTTCCCGAAGTGGGGTGCCCAATGGGGCACCCGGGCGTGGAGCAACAGGGCGTGGTGCTCCTTGATGTCCAGGATGTGGAGCTCCTTGGGGTGCTCTATGTTGTGCACCTCCGTGGGGCCCTCCATGTTGTGCACCTCCGTGTGGTGCTCCACGTTGTGCACCTCCGTGTGGTGCTCCACCTTGGGGTCCTCCATGTTGTGCACCTCCGTGTGGTGCTCCTCCTTGTCCAGCAAGTATGAGTTGCAGTAACTGTTGGTTTTGAGCAACCAGTTGCTGCATGGTCTCCAATATTTGTTGGGGATTCGGGGCTAGAGTATCCGGAACAGGGTTGATAGGCGGGGGAGCAACCTCCTCCTCTCGTGGAGGATTGTCTTCGTGTTGGTTCATGGATCGAGTAGTGATCGCCATTAGTTAATGGATGTAATGTTCAGGAGTGAGAATTTTGTCGATTCCCACAGACGGCGCCAAACTGATGATGCACAAAAATGGTTTTGCACACCACCTGTCAAGTGTAGATAATAAATGCAATGAAATCAATGAGAAAATTAAAGAAGACACAATTTATAGTGGTTCGGTCAATTCGACCTACGTCCACTCTTCAATGGCTTCAGTTGCCGGGTATTTTATTAATTCAGAGGTATGGAGAATAGAGATACAAGCTTTGAGAGAATGAATAATCAAAGAAGGAGTGGTCTTCAGTCATCGGTCTGTCGTCTATAAGTGTTGGTGGGGCGTGCCATTTTTTTTCTAGTCTCCTCACAGATTGGGGCTACTTTATAGCAGCTAAGAGATCATTCTTGTAGAGATCATGACTTATCCTCAANCAAAGCTCGGCGAAAGAGGGAATAGAGGCGGGGGAGAGCTTAGCAAACCATTGTCGGATAGACCCCTTTAACGTGGTTGGGAATGCCCTGCACATGATTTCGTCTGGTACGTTGTGCAATTGCATCAAGGTCTTGTAAGTGTCGAGGTGGTCCAGTGGATCCTTTGTTCCATCAAAGGTCTCCACAGATGGCATTTTGAACTTCTGAGGGAGGGGGTAGTTTGCTACATCAGGTTTGAAAGGGGTATCAGTACGCCTTACCAGGTGGTCAACAGTCTCGGGTCCCTGTGCCTTCATGGCGTTGAAGACATCACCGAGTTGATTTTGTACCTCCTTTATCTTCTCGTCCCAATGATTGGGGGCTCCTCTGGAATGATCATGGAAGTGGCTTCCATGCCCCATGCTTTGGTTTTCACCCTCATCCTCCTGGAGATAAGGGTCCTCTCCCTGGAAAGCAAGGGGAGGGGGAGGTGCAGCTCCCTCATGTTGGGCTTCCCGAAGTGGGGTGCCCAATGGGGCGCCCGGGCGTGGAGCAACAGGGCGTGGTGCTCCTTGATGTCCAGGATGTGGAGCTCCTTGGGGTGCTCTATGTTGTGCACCTCTGTGGGGCCCTCCATGTTGTGCACCTCCGTGTGGTGCTCCACGTTGTGCACCTCCGTGTGGTGCTCCACCTTGGGGTCCTCCATGTTGTGCACCTCCGTGTGGTGCTCCTCCTTGTCCAGCAAGTATGAGTTGCAGTAACTGTTGGTTTTGAGCAACCAGTTGCTGCATGGTCTCCAATATTTGCTGGGGATTCGGGGCTAGAGTATCCGGAACAGGGTTGATAGGCGGGGGAGCAACCTCCTCCTCTCGTGGAGGATTGTCTTCATGTTGGTTCATGGATCGAGTAGTGATCGCCATTAGTTAATGGATGTAATGTTCAGGAGTGAGAATTTTGTCGATTCCAACAGATAGCGCCAAACTGATGATACACAAAAATGGTTTTGCACACCACCTGTCAAGTGTAGGTAATAAATGCAGTGAAATCAATGAGAAAATTAAAGAAAACACGATTTATAGTGGTTCGGTCAATTCGACCTACGTCCACTCTTCAATGGCTTCAGTTGCCGGGTATTTTATTAATTCAGAGGTATGGAGAATAGAGATACAAGCTTTGAGAGAATGAATAATCAAAGAAGGAGTGGTCTTCAGTCATCGGTCTGTCGTCTATAAGTGTTGGTGGGGCGTGCCATTTTTTTTCTAGTCTCCTCACAGATTGGGGCTACTTTATAGCAGCTAAGAGATCATTCTTGTAGAGATCATGACTTATCCTCAAGGCTACTTTATCGCAGCTAAGAAATCATTCTGGTGGAGATCATGACTTATCCTTAAGGCTACTTTATAGCACTAAAAGATCATTCTGGTGGAGATCACGACTTACCCTCAATGGAAGGAGGAGGTTGGGGAGCTTTTCATGAAACGCGGTCAAAGTTTGGACCGTTTCCTTCGGTGATGCAGATAAGCTTCTCATGCTCTCCTCTTGGTGACGTGCTAAGCAAAAAGTCTAATCGGTCTTGGACTGTCTTGGGCTTGGTGGATTTAAAATGAGGTTGGGCTCCTCAACTGGAGTTGGACTTTAACACATAAATTAGACTATTTGGGCTTAACCCATCAAATCTAAAAATGTAAAACCTGGATTCAAGAAAGTTGGCCGGAGACGGAAGACATAGAGGAGAGAGAAAGGTTGCTGCGCTGGAGATTTGTCAATTTAAATCCGATGGACAAAAATTGTGGTGTGCATGATACGCCTCATGGGGGTTTGCATCCTATAACTACCCACATTTCAATGGGTATTTGAAAACGACATCATACGCCAATTGCGTGTTGACGTCAGCAAAAGTGAGTCATGTGACCTAAAAACTAAGATTTTTTTAAAAAAAATTTAAATGATATTGTATTCTTATAATTGTACTGATTGAGGTTCTGTGTATAACTTTTTTGCATAATTTTATTCAATATTAGGTTACTCACCATAAAAAGATAATTATTTCAATGAGTGAAATTCACATTTTTTATTTGATAAATTATTATTAAATGATTACGCCTCGTGATAATATTTGCAGTGTTTTTGCTTTAACATAACTGGGAAATATAACTTTTAATCGTGTCGACTTAAATTTTATAACCTAAATAATACAAATTCAAGTTCAAATTTAATTAATCAAGCTTGTTAAATTAAATTAAAATTGGACTCAAATTTAATAGGCCCAAATTAAATAAACTTTTAAAAATTAAAGTGAATTGCACTTAAATTCTATAAACAAAAACTCATAAATTTATGGATAGTTTATTATCTAAAGTTCATATAAAAGTAATTAAGTAAAAATATTTTTATAAAAATAATTATTCCTAGCATTATAAATAAAGGCACCGGGGATGACCACAGATAAGCAAAACGAGAAGAAGTCAAACGAAGGATGACCACAGATAAGAAAAAGGAGGAGAAGTCAAAGAAGAAGACATATCGACGAAACTTTTCCCTAAATGCTTAAAGAAATAATTGTGCCAAAAATAATAGAAATAATTGCTGTCAACGCGTCATCATCGATCGTTAACCTTTTATTTGGCGTTTGTGTTTCTATATATATGTCTCCTTTCTCCTTCAAAGGTCCATTCCTTTTTCCCTCTCCCTTCCCCAGAAGCTTGCCACCGCAATCCATGGAAATCAAGGTCATATCCAGTGGAGTCCGCTACTCGAGCCTACCGGAGAGTTATGTGCGGCCGGAGTCGGAACGCCCAAAACTATCTGAAGTTGCCGAATGCGAAAACTTTCCGGTGATTGACTTGGGTTGTAGAGATAGAAGTGTAATTGTGCAACAAATTGGCGATGCCTGTCAGCAGTTTGGCTTTTTCCAGGTTTTTAATTATTTAGATGTCATTTTGTCAGCCTTTTTCAATTACCATTTAATGTGTTCTCCTAAGCTGGGAGCCTCTAATCAGGCAACTCATTGATAAAAGAAGCAATATTAACCCATTCTCTTACTTCGAGTTGGGTTAATTAGGATCCTTTGGTAACATTTTCAGTAGTAAAACCATTTATATATTTACTTTTTTGGGAACTACAAAAATCATAAAAGTTTTCAAACGCCACCATAGTTGTTCACCCAAAGACTTATGAGTGATGAGATATCTTTTTAAATGATTTTTGTAGCGTCTTTTCTCGAAGTCGAATGAATAGGACAGTCTAACAAAACATTGCTCTCTTCCCAACCCATTTACTCAAATTTTAAAATAATGTTTAAATTTTTGTATTATTTTCATTCATATTTTGTGAATTTGTGTATTAGGCAATAAATCATGGAGTATCAATGGAAGCAGTAGAGAAAATGATTGAAGTTGCCCATGAATTCTTCCGGTTACCCGTGGAAGAAAAGCTGAAGTTATACTCCGATGATCCTTCAAAAACCATGAGGCTATCTACAAGTTTCAATGTGAAAAAGGAAACAGTTCACAACTGGAGAGACTATCTCAGACTCCATTGCTATCCATTGGAGAAGTTCGTGACAGAGTGGCCTTCTAATCCTTCTACTTTCAAGTAAGTACTCTCTCTCTCTCTCACACACACACACACACAAACACAAACACAACAGTGCATGCACAAGTGGCGGTGGTATATGATCGGGTCTAATTCTGTCCTTATCTACAAATGACAAATTAAATTTTAAGAACAACCTAATTCATAATTTATAATATAAAATAAGATAAATTTTAATAAATTTATTTGACGATCTCAAATAAATTTATTAAACGATCATTAATATTTTTTAAAAAATTATTTATATTATATCATACTTTAAGACATGAGTTAGCCCTAATTAAACAATAAAATTGGATCGAGTAGGTTAAGGAATAAAACAAAGAACCCTGACTATCACTTCATTCATTAAAATTGATAGTGTTATGTTCTTGGCATACCAAACATTCTAAATGCATTCTTCGAACTTAACTATAGTTTATTCAGATGCATTCATATAACAAGTATAACCCATAAATAATTCCGGTTATTATTAAGATTAAAACTTAGTTGTATCGTATTAAATTTATTTATATATGTTGGTTTTATTTATATTGTGTTAAAATTGTTTGAACTCATATATTATTCATTTATAACCATATATAATCCTATTTTTTGGTATTTCATATTACAAGGTCAATTTTGAACTTTTGTAATTGAGTTCATTTTCATCTGCTTGTCAAGAAGAAGAGTAATGTTAAAGTGATTAAAAACTAGGATTAAAAACAGGGATATGGCAAATATATTTTGAATTTTGAACGAAGCAGAGTAAGATCAAAAATATTATTATTATTATAATATCATATCATTTATTTTTTAGTTATGTTTTTATTAATGTAACATTACTCTACCAGGAATACTTGGTATTTGAGAAATGTCAGAAAGTAGGGCCCACTGTATAATAAATCCAGTGTATTGCATGTGTTTTTGTCTGGTATATGTGCGTGCGTGTCATGTGCAGGAATAGTACTGAAAAATGCTACACATGCGCTCACCAAGTGTAAAAAAAATCGTTGACCGAAAAAAAACCAAAAGTCTAAAAATATCATTGTTTTTTTGATCATTCATATCGCAAAAGGTGGTGTGAACGAATAACACTTTTTTCTTTCGAGGATACATCGAAAGAGGCAGCCACTTTTTCTTCAAAGGACATTTGCCCAAAAAGCCAGGCCAGCCCTGCCCTGCCCTGCGACCGTCCACAGCCCACATGGTTATTTCAAAAGCAGGGGCCGACATCCATGGCCCTCTTGTTCGACGCGCACAAGATACGCATAAGTTCACGGGCTCTTTAAAACCCCAAAGTTGCTCATGGTCGATACTGTACAAGATCCCAAACCCTAGATCTAAAACAGCAAAACGTTGCTTCCTCTACAATAAAAATTGAGGCGAGTTATAAATTCAAAAATTTTTAATTTAAAATTTAATAATTTTGTTAGGTCATGAGGGATAAATTTTTTATAATTTTGATGTTAATAGTCAATTTTTAATCAAATTGAGAAAGAAATTTATCAATTATTTATATTGAAGGATAGAAAAAAAATATTTTTTGTTAGTGAGGGTATAATAGTAAACTAAATTTGTCTGTGCTTCTTTTCGTTTCATTTTTACTCCGGTGCCAAACAATAATAAATTAATTCATCTAATTTTCTATTCATAGTACCAAATAAAAAAGAAAAAAAGTGGTTTTTTTTCATGTAAGGATGAAAATTTTATATATTATATTTATATCATTCATATTTTTCATCATTTGTACCACATAAATCATAAAATAAGTGGGGCTACCAACTATGGCTGGAGTGCGTGGAATGTTACCCAAAAAAATTGTAGATTAGGAAATGAAAATATTATATCCAACTATCGGGCATGTTAATGTTGTGAAGAAATTTACCTACTAAGGGTCAATTAGAACTTTTAAATGTTAACTTACAATTTTTAGAGATCATTTATCTTTGGGAGACATTCATAACTTTTAAGAATAATTTATAAGTTTTGTGGTTATTTTGGATTAATCTTAAAAATTTAGAATAGATGCTAAGTAAAGTAAATTATAACTTGGTCATAAAAGTTTTGGATTAATCTTAAAAATTTAGAATAGATGCTAGGTAAACTAAAACTTATAACTTGGTCATAAAAGTTTTTTGATTTTTGGTAATGTTGTCTTCTATAAGTATTTCCAACAAATGATATAAAACATACAAAATCTTCAAATTTTAGCTAATTTAGCCAAAAAATTTCATTATAACATATTATCTTCAAAACATCTAAAATAACATTTTGTTACAATGACATTCTATTATGTAAAAAAATTTTATAATATTTTCTCTCTCTTTCTTTCATTCTCTCTCTTTCTCCTTTTCACTATTTCTCAAAAAAATAATACAAAAGAAATGAAATAATATTTAAAATGAGTAATTAAAAATATAGAAAATTTATTAGGTGTGTATTGAAAAAGTGAGTAATTAAAATAATTTTTATTATTAGAGATGTTTTTAGCTGTCAACATTATTGAGTGCTGACGTCATTCATAACGTATGAGGGTGATGTCATTACTTTGGCATATGTGCTCAAAGGCCGACATTTTTTAAAGGATAACTGGGTTTTGTCGTTATAGTGGCATCGTGTATTAGTTGGCGTGTTGACGAAAGCGAGATTGAAAATGTGAACATGGTCGTTTCGTGCACGGAATTATTGTTTAATTCGTTAGGTTGTGAAGCGCCGGATCAGCACTTTCCAGAATACGGCGGTGGAGGTGATTATCGTCTAATATATAGACGTGCCAGGTCGGCACTTTCTAGAATACAACGGTGGAGAAGTTTATCATTTTTATTTGGAAAATTTTCGTTCACCCCCCCCCCCCCCCCCCCCCCC